GCGGGCGGGCAGACGCGGCGGCGGAGCGGGTTTGGCGGCGTTTGGGGCCGAAAGCGTGAGGAGGAGGCCGTGCGGCCTGCTGGGCGCACGGACGCCTGGCAAGGGACGGCCTGTCCCTGGGCGGTCTTCTGCCGGGCGGTCCTGGAGAGCTGCGGGATCGCAAAGCCCTGCGGCAGTGGGAGCCGAGAAACCTCCTCGGGTTTAGCCCGTTCTGGACAGCGCGGGTCTGTCCGAAAGGTTCCCGGCGGTGTCAAGGGAGTAATCCGTAACGAGCCGCTTCAGTCAGCTGTCACCCGGCCCGTCTTAGGCGGCTGCGTAAGCAAACACGCTGTGTGACACCCGAGTCGTATTTCGGACACGAAAGGCCCTCCTTAAGCCAAAGAATTATTAAGAGGAAGACTGAAATAAAGCATTTACTTTTGTGCAGTAAGTAAACCTTCCCTGCAGTGTTTTCCATGTGCCTTCTTGAAAGGTGTTTGGTCTCCTCAAAGTTTGTGACTACGACTTCCTTCAGACGTCTTTGCGTTTTGAGAATTAATTTTGAACAGCTCCCCCCGTCAGCCATATAAATATCAAGTTTCACTTTGCATACTTTTTAGACGACTTAAAAAAGACTCGTGTTTGCTTTAAGGCTCTAAAAAAAAAATCTTAGAGGGCCCTTCCGAGTAGTTACATAGAAAGGTGTCTTCAGCTGTTTTATCAATGCTTTTGCTACACACGTTGTCATGGTTTGATATTTTCACACTTGTTACAAAAGACCATTGTTGTCCCTTTTTGTTTCTAAGCATGGAAAAAGTAATGGTTTACCATATATTCTTGGAACGTGCTCTATACTTGTAGTTGTGGTAACATAACAGCAGCGCTGGAGAGCATGAAGACCAAGCAGCGTACCTGAGCAGTATCAACACAGAAGTGGGATGTTTTCTCTTACAAGCTAAACTGGAAGAGTTGAGTAAAACAAAACACAAGATGAGCATTCTAGAAGAGGCTTATCTGGTGCTGTTGCTGTTATGTCAGTATCTCTTTAGCTGAACCTGAGTGGGTTGTCAAAAAGAACTGAGAGGAGGAGAAGAAAGTAGTAAGTTAAAGAATGGCACCCAAGAGGGAGGTGGGGGGGGGGTTGAGTTTGTTGAGTTTTGGGGGGGTTTTTGAGATATTGTAGGACTGGTTCTGCAAGTTGAACAAGCTGCTTTCCTGGGGCTCTAGGAAGCGCCACTGTTATTTATTGTGTGAGTCACTGCATGATCCCTGATAGGAGAGTATTTTCCTGTCTGGCCTCTACACGTATAGACACACAAAAATATCCTAGAGAGTTGGTCTACCAGAAAAATCTTCGAAAAGAAACTGAATTCTGACTTCAGTTTTGTAACTGTAAAGTGTAAAGTAGTCACTTTAATACTCACATGGCTGTTTTTCTTCCCTTTTTTAATATTTTGTATCATATATAACTGGCTACACAGTACCATGCACTCAAATAATTTTTTTTTAAAAGCTTTTGAATGTAGCCAAGATTCACTGTGGGCATGAACTGTGATATGGGACCGTGTCTTTTTCCTTTCTGTTTCAAGCTAATGATTTCTTTTCTCTCTGTGCCTGCCAGTTCATGGAGATGGTTGAACACAGGGAAGAAGCTTGAAGAAGGTGCTTCCTATTACAGGGTTAGATAATGCGCGGTAAAGGGAAAGGATGCATTTTTCTTTTGGCATATCGTCATGTACAAATTCTAGTGCTAAGGGATACACAGGTGTCTTTATAATGATGACTAGGCCTGATTCTGCTATTTGAGAAATTTGAAAAGAAGTTAGACTAACAAAGATTAAGTAGTGATTACCGTCATAGTTCAGATGCAGACTATGCTCAGTGATGACAGTTTTGCATCTGTTCTTTGTAGTCCTGAATGATCAGATGTGCTACAGATGTTCAAGGTGTGATGGGGGAACTGAAGAAACAGTAGCAATTTGATCACAGGGACTGATACAGGAGTGGGGCATTCTTCCTTTCCACCTCTCGCTGGCTCAGGAGATGAGAAGACTGCACAGCACTGCTGAAAGAGGGTAGATCTCCTGTAAATCACTGCTAATTTTTTTTTTTTTTTAGGTATTTGGCCTATCTTTGACTACTGCTACACACTGTCCAATGCAATATTATCTTGAAAGGCTGCAGAATGCTTTTTAGCTTAAAGTTTTTATCCTGCTGCACTTGCACACTGCATTAGCAATGTTGAATATTAACTACTGTAGCTTCGGGTTGTACTGTAGGTGTAGCTGAGGTGTTACTTGCAGTGTTATTGTTGCTTCTCTCAGTGAAGCAGTATCTGCAGAAGAAATTGATCTAATAGTCTTTTGACTTTTCCCTGCTGGCAGTCATTATCCAATTGTTCTGTGGTTTTTTGAAAGGTTTTGTGCTCTCTGTCTGACAGGGACCTTAACATCCATTTTCCAATCTTAAAGACCATAGATCTGATTACTTGCAGAACATGCTGAAAGATCCATCTGTTTTTCCTCTAATGATCAGTCTTTACTAGAGCATTACTCTGGGATAGGCTAGTTGCGGCAAAATACACTGCCTCTTTACTGTATTTGGGTAACTGCCTACAACAGTGCTGGGAAAGCTTGCATCCTAGGATGAACTGAAGAAGGAAGAGCCGGACAGGGTAAGACACACTGTGCTGTTAGTTATTGAATCTTGGAATTTGTTTATGGGCGCTTGCTTTACATAGTATATTCCAGAACAGCTGTTTGCGGCACTGAGTGAGGAATATACATTATGTTATATGAATATACATTTTATGTAAAGTATATTACATAAGTCAACATGGAAACTGGAGTAGTTCTAGAGATGAAAGTAAATAACATTCAATGAGAACATTTAGGACTCCATTGTAATGAGACGGTAAACCACAAAGTGATTCATATTTACACCCAAATGACTGATCTGTTTCTCCATTTCTTTCCTCTCATTAAGTACGCCCCAGATGATAATCCACATTTCCCTAAATTTCAGAGGTTATTAACTCTGAACCTCAGCTTTACCATAGTGTTTATGTCAGCTGCTTCTTCAGCTGTCTGTATGGATAAATAACTTGTTTTGGTGGATACACTGGTCAAGACTGTGCGAAGGCAGTAGGAACAGAAAAGGTGAATACAGAGCTTAAATGCTGGGTCACATGATTGTGACTTCAAGCTCAGAGGGGAGATGCAGATAAACCAGTAGCCAACTGGAATTGTCAGGTAACAGTGTTGGAGTTTGGTTAGTTTCTGTTCTTGCTGCAAAATAGAGTAGCTTGGTAGGCTAAAGTCTACTCTCTAGCCACCCCTGTTATTCTGGATTCAGAACTGCATTCAGGCCTGGGTTATAACCTTTCACGTAGGGAGAAGAGGAGCAAGCATAACATCTATTATGGAGTCTAACCTAACCCTGGTGGAGGGGAGAGAGCGAGCGTGTGTGTTCAGTTCTTTGTGGGGAAGAGGGTGGGAGCTGACTGTCAGTCCTTCCAAGTGTGTACATTCTCTTGCTGGTCACTTGCATGTTTTCAAATCTATGGTCACTCATCTGAAAGAAGCTATACATCTTGATCTCCAGGAGGGCCATTTGGAATTGAGCTTAGAGAAAGCTTGTGATTTCATGTGTTTTAAAGTCCATAGCAATAAAACACGGCAGGGCCTTAAATGCTAGCTTAAGTAGCCATCCATACATAACGAGAATGGATGTAAGGAGGACTTTAAGGCTTTGGTTAAAATGTTAAATGTGCTTCTCTTTAGAAAGAGATGAGAAAATATCTGCGTAGAAAATGGAATTTGAAGTAATACTGATACAATATGTGAGCAAGTGAAGCTCTTTGGTGGACTTGATTTCAGGCTTTGAAATGTGTATTAGAACCCTGAAAAGCTGGTGTCTTGTATCACAGTTTCACGTTTGTTAGTCTGCACGGACCTATTCTTAACTGCTTTGTAGTCATGCGCTGGAGATCCTGTGGAATTTTGTTTTTCTGACAAGTGTAGTCATTCAGAAATGCTGCATTCAGCCTTGTTGATTGGAGGCAGTATCACCTGTGCTCCTGACAAGGAAGATTATGCATGGCATTGACATTGCATTAATTTACAGCAGAGTAGACCACTGATTTGTGCTTGGTAGTAGGAGTCTGCTTTCAGTAGAGTAAATCAAAATACCCATAGGTTCACACATAATTAGAAACTTCCAAACAGGCAGTGAGGCTTCTTTGAAACCCCATCATTACATCTTACTTCTGAGTGCTTTAATGCTAGCTTAAGCTAGGGATTATTTTGTGTGCCAAGTTAGTAGGTGTAGGTGCATGTGTTTACTTTAATACATTCTGAACTGCTTTTGGCAGGTCGTTAAATGATTTAATATTGGGTTACGTGAGCTTACAGAGGATGCTGTTTCGTTAATGCAGTTGACCTGACTGTGTATATAATATGCACATGGAATATTTTGTGACTGTATACTTTAAGACTGTTTATGTATGTCTGTATTGCATAACTGTGATTTCTTTGGAGAATATATAGAGATACTGTAAGCACTGGATGAGTTGCACCTGTCCTTGGAGGGAAGAATGGCAAAAGAAAAGAGGAAAAAACTATTGAATAAAAGAGGGAAATGAGCATTAAAAAAAAAATAGAGAGAGAAGCTGCTGTGACAGAAACAGAAACTAACCTGTCAGAATAGTTGTCACACCAAGAAATCAATTTCAGACCATAAGCACTACCACCTTTTTGTGTATGAGAGCTAACTACCTGCGTAAAAGCTGGGTAGAAAAGTTGGAAGGGAATAATGAAGTTGACAAGCCTTGTTCAGGTCTTTGTGTGGGTGGTTCGTTTTTTTGTACCCTTAAAGGAAAGCAAGCTATTAAGTGGGCAAAAGGAAGAAAATACAAATATGTGGAAGTTTAAACAATGTACGAAATATATTAAAAAATGAATATTAATAGGAAAAGTAAGCAGCAGAGGGATTTCTTTGATTTAACTAATAACTTGCCCATTCTGACTGGGAACTGAAATACCAGGAAAGTTTCTCTTCCAGTTTGTTAGCAGAACTTAGTTTCACATGTTCTTTGGTGATTTCAAAAATCTGAAAAGAAAGGCTTATCCAAATCTTTAATTAGGGGCAGCTTTCTTTGCTTCTTGAAGTCAGTGTTGCCTTTGAAAGTGATACGATACTCTTTTTTGGTCAAAGGAAATGTTGAATTTTGTGTATAGAATGACAGTAATGATCAACTTGTTTTAGTGATAGTAGCATTTAAATATTGGTCATTTTTTCTGAGCAAAATAAACTTAGAAGGCAAACACAAGTCAAGGTTAAACTCTGTAAATCTCCCTGCTTGCTTGCTTTACATCAATCCGTCATTCTCTATTGACTTTCTAAATCAACAGCCTGGTAGGATTGTAGAGTCATAGTCTCTCTCATATTCACATGTGCTGAGCCAATGATTAACTGCACCACCCCATACTTGAAGTGCCAACATTGAGTAAAAAATACCGGAAATTGCTGAAGGGGAGGGAGAGACTGTGCTGTGTGTGTGCCTGTTAGAAGGAGGAAATTAGAACTTAAAAGCTGTCGTCTTTCTTCCAATTGTTACCTTCTGAGCAGATACCAGGTGGTTTCTTTGAGTTGCTGTGTTAAGATTTATGGTCATACAGGTGACTAGGTTGAAAAGTTCAGGCATCTTTATGCCTCGATCAGAATCTTAAGTTACACATAAATGTGATCTCCATAGCTACAATCTAATTTGGTGTCAAAAGACTCTTAGGCAGCATTTTGGTTGATGTTCTTAATCTTTATCTTTGCACTGGATATTTGAAGTGTCACTGATCATACCAGGAAGACGGAACAGTTCAAAGGTGACTGCGTAGAAGTAATCTTAATACACAGACCAGCTCCGATAGAGATTCATTGCCTTTATAAGGATAAGGTGATTGTTGCCGTGCAATTGAATTACATTGACTTTATTTTACTTTAGAGCTTCTTGTGTGTTACTTATTTTCTAAATACCTTTTTCAGTGGTGAAACAATGTGTTAATATAGAGAGAGGACTAATCTTTGGGATGAGGGCATCAGATAAGATGCAGGGCTTTGTTGTTCGAAGCAAAGGTGAAGAAGGCTGAGTAATATAGTCTTTATGCCACATGACTAGTCTCTTGGCCTTGCTATGAAGTGGTATTTTCATGCAAAGATCTATACTGTGAGTAGCATGAAAAGGCATCTTTGGAATTTGGCATGGTCTGTGTTTTCGTTGGTCTGATAAAAAAAAACAAAAAAAAGAAATTCATCACCACATGATTGTTGTGTATTCTGGAGCCAGATGATAAGCATATTGGGAGGGGGAAGAGCTTTATAAAGCTCCATTAATAATAATTATGCATATTTCCTTGTTCCATAGCAAATGTTTAGCAGATTTTGTAATAGGCTGCATGTTTGACAAACTTTGGATTTCCTTCAGATGAGAGGTGAAAGTAGTTCCTGTTTTGTTCTGCACTGTTTATGCCACATGCAGTCCTGAGCATGGCCTTTTGCATTCCAAGTATGTTATGCATTGCTGAGCCTGTCCCTGCATCACTTAGTAACAGGGCTTCTGTCCCCAGCTGTGATGTCAGGTCATATTATTGGAAACGAGATAGTTTTCATCGAGGAAGCTAACTCCCTTTGGAAAGACAAGCAGCTGTGTTCAGCTTAAACTATTGCAATCTTTTGACGTTTAGTGGGCTCTCCCTTAGCAATACTAAAAATAGTTGATCACAATAAAGGACAGCTGGGAATACAAATTACAGTGTTTTTGTCTTTCTCCCATCCTGCATTACTAATTAATGCAAATCAGGAGAGTAAGATGGGAAACTGGGAAGTTCAGGCTAATTTGCAGGTTATTAGAAGTTTATTCAGGCTATACTACTTGGAGCCTTACTTTGTGCTAGTCAAGCACTGAACAGAAGGTTAATCTTCAAATTGCATGAATTTTGAAAGAATGAACACGGTCAGTGCTGACAGCAGTTTGAATTGCCAGCCCTTTTACAAATATCTGCTGAGAATTTACTAATGATTTTCTCTCAGAAAGTCTTCACATTAGCCAAATGTTTGTGTTGGAAAATTTAACTCATAATGCATAGCTGACATAAGAACCACCACTTTCTGTATTCAATATCCAAGCATTGTGCAAAACGTTGGTTAGTTGGTTGTTTCAAAATGCCAAGTCTGTATACTTTCATTTAAAAAGAAAAAAAAAATTACTGTCTTTTAACCGAACCAGTCTAAAAGCACCACACCTTCAGTAAACCACACCATGGGAAAGTTCATACTGAATGGTTGAAGTTTAGTAAAAATGGAAACAATGGAAGACAAGTCCCATGGTATAGTCTCACTCGTAAATAGCATTTCCTCTGCCACATAGATTTTTCGGAATAGAGTAAAATACTGTATTTTTAAAGCTAGGCTTGTTCTTTTGTCTACTGTATTGAAGTAGAACTTTGTGGGGTAGTAAGAATCTCTTGTGGCTCATAAAAACAGGAGATTACTTCAGAAGCTACTGTATGCATAGAATAACTTCAGTTTATTTATAAAAGTATAACATAAGCTCTAAACCCAATTACTGCAGAATCTGTTCCAATGAACTTTTAGGTATTGTAAGAAACAGATGTGGTTTAGACCATGTCAATCATGTAATTTTGGTATGGTAGCCATTTTTAAGCTGCCTTAAAAAAGGCACAGTAGAATTTTTTTTGGCTATACATTTTTTTTATCATGAAATTTCTATTTTTAAAGCTCTGAATGAATACGCACAACCGTATGACAGATAAAGTTACTGCTGGCATTTTTAGATAGAGAAGAAATAAAAGTAGGTTGAATGTGCAAGTGTATGTTGCTTGTTATTTGAGGTAACTGCAGTTTGCTACGACTTCCCATCTCAGAATAACTTCTCTTGTGCAAATAGTACTGGCCAGTTGACATTTCATATTCCTCAGCAAACTAAACACAAAATTTTGAAGATCTTAAGGTAAACTTTGCATTGTCTTGAAAATACGCTGTAGTTAAAATGACCATTTTGAGGATTTTATCTTAGATACTTGGGAGCAAAACTGTATTACTTTTTCATAAAGGAAATTTATGATGAAAGAGACTTTGAATGGTTTGACTGCAAATAATGTGTGGATTCTACTTTACTGTGATCTGAGGAAAAATCCTGAGACTGCTTACTTAAAGTATGTAGTATAATGGTAACTTGAACAGTAAGAAATTAAATGTTAAGTCTTGCGAATTGTCTTTTTTGGACAAAACCTGTGTATTTCAGGGCTCATTTCTACTTATCTGTTTTGTAAAATGTCTAGAGATAAAATAATAAAATATAATAAATAAGTACTAATACTAACAATGTTAAAATTATTATAATAAGAATGAAGACTACCTCGAAGTAAAAGACTACCTCAGCACTCTTTCCAGTGAAGAAAATTACTAGCAATAAATGTATATGAAATGCTTATGTTAATATCAAACAAATATCTTTCTAAATATTGTATTAATCACATGATGGGTGGAAATGCTTTCTAAGCAAGTTTATACTCATAAAAGTAGCAAATCTTCAGTGTATACTTATTTTAATTTTTATTTATTTATCCAGAAAATAAATGCTAAGCTTCATGATGGAGTGTGTCAGCACTGCAAAGGTATCTTGGAGTGGCGGGTAAAATTCAGCAAGTACAAACTACTATCAAAACCTAAAAAATGGTGAGTAGGTACTTTGTGTTAATCATTGATAATGTAGTTTGTCAACTTTTTGGAAAATATTCTAGTTTTGGAAACTCACAAATAGTAGCTGCTGCTATATGACATCCTTCAAAAGTGGAATCTGCAATGGCAATATATATGCAATGTTAGTTTTCTAATTCATTAGTCTTTTATCTTAAACTTTTGAAAAGAAGACACAATGGTAAAGCAACTGCTTCTCTTTTTGCTGTTAAAATGTTTGAGTTGTGGACCCGTAAGTTTACAAAACTGTTAGTGTGTCCTCCTGAACAAAAAGTCAAACGTGAACCAGTTGTAACGTGATTTTCTGCTATGAAAACCCATTGTTGGAGAAATAAGGAGAGGAAGGCTTTAATTTTGTGTCACATCAAAACTTATCAGCAACACTGCTGTCAGCATTACTGAGGCCTCAATTCCTACAAAATGTTTGCAATACATGTATTTCCTTACCTCTTAGCATGTTCTCTCTTTTTGTATATTAAGTGTTTAGCATTGTTTGCATACAGTTCTGTACTAGGTGTTTTTGGATAAGTACATAAAAAAGGTGATAAATATCTTAAAAAATATTTATAAGTTTGTGATATGTTAATTTTCGGAAGTGGATACTCTCTGCTTCTTCTTAGTTGCTCAGCTGCAGAGGTCCTTACCTCTATGGCTGCAGACACAGCCAGTGTTTCAACAGTGAAACGTTGAACTCAAAGAACTACAGCTGGGCTGTGGTGTACGATATAGCCACCTTTGTCACAGTAGTTTGTTCTGCATCTCTGGGTTGTTCTCAGTTACATGCTTCTGAAATACTTGTGAACTGCTTGAAGAGGTTATGTAAATGTATGTGTGCAGTTCCCTGAATGACGGTGTATTTTATTTTGGTTTTCAGTAGGTTGAAAGGGAAGGAATGTTTGTTCATACTATATCCCCCACTTGTGAGAAGTTTTACTTTCTAATATGAAACCATATGCAACAAATATTTGGGTTTTAGTAAACAATTTCACCCTTTCATGTAAAAAAAAAAAAAATTGATTAGGTAGAAGTCTTACTGGTTCTCAAAGTAAACATTCTGTGTTCTGTTCCCCACAGGTGAAGTTGGGATTTGTCTTTTTTTAACTCTTTCTCAAATGACTATGTGCATCCTGTTTAAAAGTAATGAGCTGTAACAAATCATGTGGCGGTGGATCTGGTTCTTTTGCTTCTTCTCTGCCTGCCCACAAAGGAAAAAAAGCAGGCAAAAAAGCTTGTACATCAGAGGAGCATTGGAAATAGAAAAAGTGGCAGTGTGGGGCAGCTGTTTATGACAGAATATGTGATCTTTTCCATCATATTTTTGAACAAGTAAATTGGGCTGCAGACCGTTCTAACTCTACAGGTGCTGGTTTCTAGCCCAGCCTACAGCAGTAAAACAGCTGAGTGGGCTGCTGTTCTGAAGGGACATGACTATGAAGATTTTTAATGGGTGAAGCTTCCAGGCAAAGTAAACACATTATAGACATTAAAAATGCGACTATATGGGAAAAAAAAGGAATTCTTCACATCACAGACAATGGGAGTGGAGGACTTCTCTGTACCTGAACTTATTTCTATTTTTTTAACATCTTCAAAATTATGATTGTTAGTACAACTACAAGTTATCCCTACTTTACTTTTATTTCAAGTACCTAATTATTACAAATTAAAGTATTTAAAGAAAAAGAAAACAGTCTATCAACCTTGCATTGATAGTACCCCTGTCTGATGTGACATGGGTGGGAAGAGCTGTAGACTTTTTTTAATAGTAGTGCAATTGAACATAGAAGAAAAAAAAACAAAAAAAAAAACTAAGTAGGTATTTCCAGTGACATCTAACTGTAGATTTTTCCTGGGGGAGAGGGAAGACCAGGAACACTAGGAAGTTTAGACTTTGCTTTTGTCAAATGTGTCCTACAGCAATTTTTGTGATATTACAGCTTCTTAAGGAATTAGCTACGCATATCCTAATAATGAAAGCTCAGCAGAGCCTAGATGAAGAGAGTAGGGAGAAGGTGATAGCGCTTAAGAATGGGATTTGAGAAAACAAGTAAAGATTCTGTTTCACTAGATGCTAGTTAGTGCATCTCTCCTTACAAGGCATGCAAAAACACCTGGTATTTTTCTTCAGCCTGTTTTAGCCAAGTCTGCAAATCCGCTCTTCAGAACTGTATGTTAAATCTTTTCTGACAGACTTTTGAGTGCCTGAGGAACCAAGAAGGAATGACTTTTAGGACAGCTGCATTACGTGGGATATATAGTTCCGGTTCTGTTCTCCAAAAGTACAAGGCTTTAGAAATACCAGCCAAATGTTGAGCCATAGCATTTTATAAATGAATTAATCTACAGAGTTTTATCATATCTTGAAAAAGAATAGCCAGAAACCTATACATAATTAGGTTGGGTTTGTTCAGAATACAGTTCCATGCAGGTTTGTGTTCATAGAAAGCAAAGTCCAGCACTGGCTTTGTTTGTACTCTTGAGAAGTTCAAGAGGAAGACATTGTAGTGTTTGAATTGACAGTTTTTTATTTGTAAAGTGCATGCACCTTTTTATACCATATTCTTATTTGCTTTTATCGTTAAACCAGAAGAAGAAGTTATGTAGCTTTTAAAGTAAAACTACCTACTGAAATGAATGGAAAAGTTTCTTTTGTCACTTTAAATATAAAAATCTGTGAGTTTAAGTTTCTTCTTCGGTTCTTGTTTTAATAATTCTTCCTGAAAAACTTAAAGGAGAGGGAAGACAGGCAATGATTTTGATAGTGCTGCTTGTTAAAACACCAGTTGTTTCATATGAAACTGGCCTATAACATGTTGTTCCTCTTTTGAAGAGTATGTCTATATTGTCTTTGAACACAGAATGTTTAATAAGTGTCCACAAATATTTTTTTAATCATGTTTTCTTTCTCTTCACAGTGTGAAGTGTCTCCAGAAGACTGTAAAAGATCCTTACCATATTATTTGTCGACCATGTGCTGGTAAACTAGAAGTCTGTGCTAAATGTGGAAAAGAAGAAGAAATAGTAATTCCGTAAGTAGCTCGTAGGTTACATAGTTTCAGTACTGCACTGTTTCTTTCCCTTTTAATAGAGCTTGTTTGGAAACTGCCAAGAAGCTGTACTTTATGCCATATTCTGAATAATCCTGACACAAATCAGTAGGAGTCATTACCCTTTCTTCTGCTGAAACTAGGGGTAAAATGCCTGGTGATGTTAGTGGGGCTGGGCCAAAAAAAGTCTTACTTGGATAAGACGTTTTATTTTAATACTGAAGGATAAATTGCATATCTTCCTTAGGAACAAAGCACTTCAAAATGGAGTTCGGTATAGAGCACCATTAAAATATAAATAAGTCAGTTTTCTGTTTGAATTTTGTCTGTCATTTGGTGATTCAGTTACTAGTGAACAGAAAAACTAAACAAGGGCTGATATTGAGCAAAGTTACTGCAATATATTTAGCAGGCTTTTAGGTCTTTTATTCTTTTACTAGAGTTCTTTCTTTATCGAGCATCCTGCATTAATTTACTAGTTTGTGACAACTGGCCAGCAGTTGCTTAGTTGGTCAAACAGTTAATTTTTTTTTTTTCTTCACAGACCCTTTTCCCTTTACTATGTTTTACATCTTTCCTATTCAACATGAAATTAACTTTAGGTTATTGTCCCTCTCCTCCTCCTCCTCCCCACCTCCTACCCCCTTCTATCCCTGGTAGAATATTCTACCTTCCATCACATTCTTGTTTAAAAGCAAAATAAATTCCAAAAGTGGGTGGTGATAACGTCCTCTTTCCTTCTGCAGGATTGATAAAGGACAAGACAGAACTGAGAGTGTGACTACTAAAAACGGCCAAGAGAGCAGTAGATTGGAGGATGAGTTGGATTTTGATACAAATGTCAGTAGTATAGACAGTGGTGAAGATTCTGATGTGCTTGAAGAACGATTTAAAAGTATGAATTTTGAAAGGACAGAGATATAAAAGGTTGAGTTTATATGAGAGACTGCATGTATTCAAAAGTGGTGAACCAATGTTTGCCTTAAACTGCTCTGAAAACGTGTTTTGACACCTAAGGTCCTTGCATATAAATGTTGGCACTGTGTATTATGAAGCTTTTGCGGGGTTTTGTATAAATAAATTTTTTTTTGTATTAAGAGCAGAATTTCTTGTGGAAAGATTCAGAAATTGAATATTTAAGCATAGTTACTTCTTGCATACATGTAACAACTTCCTGTTTCTCTGGAGTAAAGCCCCTTTTTCTAATTGTCCCAAATTCAATATTATGCGACTGTTGTGTTGCCACTTGGAAAGCTACATGAAAGTCTAGAATAAATACAGAGTCTTGTCATAAAAAGGAAGAGCTAAACCAACAGTTTGCTGAAGGAAGAACTTGCAACTTCTGTCAGTGAGTTTACAAACAGGGTCAAAATACCAAATGTTAATTACCCTTATGCTTGTTGTTTCTTTTCTGTGCGAAAAAAAGAGGGCCTAAATGCCATCACCAATACAGTTCATGAGCAGTTAATGCTTATTTACCATATAGAACTACGCATTACAAATTTGTGACCTTGTTATTCCCAATGTTTTGAAAAGAAAAAAACTGAAGACTTTTTAGATTCTCGTGTCACTTTCTTTTCCTTTGACTGCAGATCTAACGTAGTTTGCTCAGATGTGAAAACACTTGTGTAGTGTAGTGATGCTTATATAGTTACTCTCTTCCTACTTTCAGTTCTTTCTGGGGGTTATTTCAATGTAGATTTAAGCTCTAGGAAGAACTTAACTGAATTTGCAGTTAACTATCTTTTATGGGACTCAGGATGGTTTGATTTCTTCTTTACTGTCTGCTACGTCTATCAAGAAAGCTGAAGAAGTACTTCCTAGCAATTATATGGTTTAACCTATGACAATATACTATGCCACTTTTACTAACTGCATAACAGCTAGACATCTGCGTTAGTGTTCTGCCTGATTTGCAGTAGTGGGCATCGAAAAATTTGATTCCCAAACTATCTTCTTCAAATGAATTGTGAGGGACTTCAGCTCTGGGATTATTACATACAGACACACCCCTACCCCCAGTGGGGGAAATACTGAAACTTTGGGTAGAGACAGCTACCCTGGGGCTGCTGTAGTTGACCTTAACTTTAAAGAAAATCTAGTTACCAGGGTGTGGAGTACTAAGACATTCAGCTCTCAATAGCCTAGAAACTTCTGATTTAAAAGACAACTTTAGTATTGACAGTAACAGGCAACAGCAAAATTCCTTGTAATCAGTCATGGAACAGTGAGCTCTTACTGTTTTTTCTTAACTGTGTAGGTGCTTGTCACTACACATAAGGCCTTAAGAATGAGCTTTTTCTTTTACTATCATTTATTTAGATATGTCTTTCACTTTTGTACTGTACGTTATAACACTCTTTCAACTTTTCTAAACTATTTCTAAGTTTGTATCTTAATATCTAAAACATGCTTTTGTAATGGTCTTTAAGGACTAGTAATCTTGGTTTTTTCTTTTTATTTTTCCTTTTCTGTGCTGCCCTTGTGTTGTTGAATAATTTGATTCCCTAAGGTTATTTTAATTTTTCTGTCCCATCTACATCTTTTGCATAGGTAGATTTTTGCTAAGTATTTTGTCATAACCACTAGCAGTAAACTATTGAAAAACACTCTACTGGTCTTCTCTGTTCCCATGATGCATTGTGACTTTTGTGGCTTTTCACTGAGACAAAGTCTAAAGTTTACTGAGTGTTTGGGTGATATTCTTATTACATAGTTGTTTGCAGTTGTAAAGGAGTAGGACTGATGACCCAAACAGCCCATCTTCTTTCTCAGCCCACTCTATAAATACATCGTTTGTAAGCTAAACCACTAGTCTTGTGATTAAACATACTGTTTTTTTCACTTAACTGCAACTAATAAAAACCAAGAAATTCAGAAGTTTAAAATTGTAGAAGGGAAATGGTTTGTCTTGGAAAAGTCAGTGAAGCTGCAAAGCACCAAGAGATGCTTAGTGACAGAAAAGGAGGTTGTCTGCTGTGTTTAGAAGTGACTGGAAATTGGTCTGAAGGTCGTGTTGGCGTTGACAGATAAGTCCTCCCAACAGGACAGCAGCGATGTCTGACTTAGTGTGACATTGCCTGTTGTCCTGCCAGCTAGCACTGATAGAGTGGACAAGGAATATCACCCCTGCACGCTGCAGAACACTGTGTCAGTGGGGTAGAGAGAGTTAATAAGTAATCTGGAGTTAGCTTCAGGAAGGGTCTGTGAAGGGGAAACCATAAGTGTCATCAAAAGTGAACTTGGCTTTTGAAAATTACATACGTATGGGAAATGTTCTTCTACTTGGAAAAATTAGGTAATGGCCTAGCCTTTTGCCCAAAGGTGAGAGGAAATCCTGAAATGATAGGAAAGCATGTCATGGAACTGGCAGGAGCAGTATAATGAGAAAATCAGGGGAAGGGCTCTCTTCTCAAAGTGGTGACACAAGCTGTCAGTGCTGGGGAAGAGCAGTGCCACATGGATGAGCAACGTGTAGCAACAAAACACAAATTTTAGTGAAAGTTCTCTGAAGTTAGCATCTTCATGTCACACAACTAATGCTCTGTTTGGAGTCCAGGTGGGCAGTTGATACTACAGTTGATGAAACTGCTGTGAGCGAGCACAGCTGCAGTGGTGGCTGGCTAGTGTTAGTCCAACCTCTCTGAAGACAGCTTTTGGTTCTGGCAAGTGTTCTGTCCTTTAGTCATAACTGCAGTTAAAACATACACTGCTGAAATGATTGCTGCAACTAAAACCATGTACGATGGTGGTTGTGAGTCAGCTTGCACAATTGCTAATTTAGAGTCTGGGCACATTTGCTATTACAGGAAAAAGGAATTTGTATTTTACTGAAGACACCTCTAACAGCAATAAAAGGAACAATTTTAGTTTTGTTTAATTTTGACTGAAGTTAGGACATATTTGGAATTACAGTAAGATACTATTTTTCTAAGACAGTTAAGTAATAGTTCTGAATTTTAAGGTGGTTTTTTTTGTGAAGAACTTGTTGAACAGAGGATTATGCAGGGGCAGGACCGCTCCTCAGTAAATTCACATATAGATGAGAAAATAAAAAAGGAAGGAGATCAAAAGTCATCAAAGAGATTTCTGAGAAAATCTTTAGGGTAGTTGCATAAGAGGAACAATCTTTAGAGTTTCTAAAGAACAATGAATTTGTGTTTCTAAACTTCAGAAGAGGGGAAATAATAGTACCACCATGCCTGCAGGGTATTGAGATGCAGTTTAAACGATCTACCTAGGGTGACTGATCGGGGGTTTCAGGAATTTAACTGAACCTTGTGGGTCCTTAACGAATACATTACTGAAGAAGAGAATGGTAGATGTTAATAATTAGTCATCCGAAGGATAAAGGTGATGCAGTGATGCTGCTGACACAGTTGGATTCCTGTTAACTGATTGTCCTTAGGAGTGTTACCAATTCTCATTTAGTGTGACTCAACACTGACAGTAATTAATTAGATAATGGACTGTCGGTATGTGTAAGGCAGGCATGCGAGATGATTCTTACTTCACAAGGGGAAATGTTTATCATAGGCTTGAGCTGTCAGAACTTGTCATTGTTGACTTGTACAGGTTTCCAGAAAACTGATTTCCTATGTATAAGGATTTCTTAGGACAATCTGGATTCATTGCAGTATGAGGAGAGTCCGGTATGGACACAGAGCTGCCTTCTAGCATAATTCCATAATGATCTTCTCTGTCAAAGTTTGCAGGCATCTCTGAGATATCCTATCATCAAATGTTTTGAAGTATCAGGAGGTACAAAAAACATTGCCCAATGATTTACTTATAGTTTTGCATGGGCTGGGCTCTTCCATTCTTGACTTAGCTACTGATTAATATGTATTCCTCTAAAGTACTAAAATAATACCAGCCTCTGAAGGTTTACAGGACTACTGGTTAATTAGGAAAAGGGTGGCTTGTTTTCTCCCTATAATGGGCATGTAGTTGGATGCTGAGATGCAAATCATAGCATTAGCAAGGAAAATAGAGGAAAATATAGCAGGTAATCAAATGTGAGCCACCTTGTAACCCTCTAGCCCTACAATTATATGTGTTTTCTTTGTTCAGGAGTTCTCACATGTAAACAGATGCTGGTAGAAAATGCAGAGCTACCCCTGCTTATAGGAAACATCAGGCTGACTTACGGAGTAAATGTAGAAAGGTTTTTAAGTAGCATGGAGAGACATGCATACTGTCAGCATCTGATTTACTTCATTCTTCTGCCTACCTTTTATCTGAAAGCTATTAAAAAACAGAGCTGTATATGAAAAAGAAAGTATGTGCTCTGCATACATACACCTCATCACATACAGTATGTGTATAAAGTAGGGTTCCTAAACCTCAAAACAGTTGAAAATACACTGGTATTTGAAGTGAGGTAGCTCTGTCTAGGGATTGCTACCACATTTTCAGACAAATCACCTGTAACAGACTAGAAATATTTGATGTATTTCAGGTAGCAGATTTTCCTGTTGGAGCCTCTAAAATACTTAAGATGAAATCACATGGGAGTTATCTTTTTTTCTGCTGAAGTCAGTGAGAAAACAACTATTTGTAATAATAGGGATAGGACTCATAATTCAGTCATCAATAAGAAGCCTGAATTTGAGGATCTGAAAACAGAGGCTGAAGACCACATCCAACACATTAAGATTTGACCTGAATTTCAGGTATATGTAGCATTTGTACTTGCATTTGCCTTTGATATAGCTTTAGAAACCCAAATTAAAAGGGTCTGGTGTAGTCTCCTAACTAAAAGTGCCTTGAAAGCAGTACCAAATATTTTAATATTTTTCTTAAAACTGCAACGTAGGACACCATGTTTTGGTACAAAAAAATATATGGATTATGCATGTTCCTGAATGGCAGCACTCACTTGAAATCTCTCTTTTTAGGACAGCTTGCATTTCTGAGTCTGAAGTTTGTCACAGCTATGGTCCTTGCACTTGGCATGCTGTTTCCTAAATCCGGTGTGAGCAAGGGTGACATAATGTGTAAAAAAATTCTGTAAAGGGTATCCATAGTTTACATATTAGTATATGTAGCAGCAATGAAACTTGTAGCATTTATTAAATCAGTAATTGCAAGCTACATGTGTAACAGTTTGATTTTTTATTTTTTCCTCATAGACCTTACTCAGTCTCTTGACTATTTTATTCCTTTTAGGGTTATTTTCTATCTTTGTCCCACAGTGTGGTTCTGCATGATAGAAGTTGATAGCTTGAATGAGAGCTGATACAGCCTCTGACTGACAGCAACAATAGATCACTCTGGATTATTCCCAGTAGCAGCAACCCAGTAGCAGTTCCCAGTTCTGACACCAGAACCATAAAACAAACTGCTTGCTTCGAAGTGGTGATGTTTGTGAGATGTATGTAAAATGAAATGAAGCTGCAGGTATTGAGGAAATGGATAAAAGGGCCCTATGGTATTTTTTATTATAGTAGAGAAATGCAGAATAACCCCAAACCTTCCATTTCCAAGGAAAAAGAAACCCCATAAAATCAGACTACATCTATTCCTTTAGGAACAGCAGATTTACTACTGCTTACATGACAGAGATTTTAAAAGTCTTTCTCTGGGAATGGCTAATATCTCATGCTCAAATGATAATAACTCTTCAGTAGTGGCTCAGTCTTTCTTGTAATAAGTTAGTGATGGAACTTACTAGAACAGAACAAGCTTGTACCTGCATTATTTGGAAAAAAGACATCATATATTCTTTATGTTATAAAATTGTAATCCTATGCTCTGAAAAGACCATGAGGAATTTGGCATAAATGTCTAGAAAGGCTGATCCTGTTATGCCAAAATTTTCCTATTTTAGGAAAGTGTTACATGAAGTATTAAGCCATCTCAAAACTATGCATTGACTGGAACTTCAGAGCTATTGTTTTTACGGTGTTTCAGCAGAAAGTTTTCTACTCTTTCCAGTTTTTGTATTAGCCTGGGTCACATTTGGGTGTAAGTAGTCCTGACATTATGATCTCTCTGCATCAAGAAAGAAGTTTTGGATCACCACATTCAACTAGTTCCTCCTTTCACATCCTCATGACTGAACTTCTCTCTAAGGTCTGTGGACATCAAATGAAGACGATGGCTGTCTTTGTTACTTCAAAAAATCACATTAGTGGCTGACTGGCTGTGACAAAAAAGGTATAATAGCACTCACCCAGCGTACAGCAGAAATGCATCCCCTTGGGCATTCTTGTTGCCTGCCACTCTGTGCATGTGGCAGTCCAGACCCCTCTCTACTATAGAGGCTGGAATTGAAAGTGTGCATTTTTCGTGCACATTGTTCCTGCTTGCCATTAATGCGAACAGAGTGTGCGGCTCAAAAGGGAGAGTAGTGTATATGCCTCTAGTCTTTAAATGGAGAGAAGGGTCTCTGCCAAATATCCGAAGGTGTCGGGCAGGGTGCCCAAGCCAGGTCTGTCCAAAATGCCATTTGGGGGGAGAAGAAAAAGCTTCTAACCAAAATAAACACGGCACCGAGCTTGTGAGTATGGAAATACAGAGGTTCACGCAGCCTGCAACTGCCTCTCTTCGTCTTCACAGTCTCCAGCTGTCACTGTAATGTGCATGGAAATTAATCCCAATAGTAAAGCTACAACTTTACAATAATTAGCCTGACAACAAGTTAGTGTCTATTGTCCCCTTGTAATTTAAATGAAATTTAGTAATGGACAGTAACTATTCAGTAATGTACTTGTTCTCCTGGGCCCTAAACGGAAATTACCTAAAAAGAATAATTCAAATTAAGAATCCTGTTCCTGGTACTGAAGCTAGACCTTCAGTGACAAAATACAGACTTATCACCACTTTACCTCTGTAATTTGATGGGCTTTTTGATGAGGGTTTTCATATTAAAGCTATGTTTACCATTAGTTACATTATTGCGCATAGTTCTGTTCCACACAAAGCTACTGCTTTAACAAGACCGTCAAGTCGTGTTATTCTGCAACTGGGAATGCCGTACTTTTTCCTAAAGGTAAGTAGTATTACAAGGAAACTTCATTTACTGATCTTGAGTAAACTATATCAGTGGCTAAATACCTCTTCCCTAACAGATGCAACATCATGAGAGTCCACTGGACTTCATGTTTGACTTATTTTGACTGAGGGTTGGAGATTTTTTGTGTGTTTTGATTCATAGCAGTGCTTTGCTACTCCATTATAGAGAAGGGCCCCAGATCTGTGTAGCAGTTGCTGTTCCAGAGCACACTGCATAAATCAGTTAGGGTAGATGCATGAGGTCACAGGAGCTAGAAGGTCAGCAAGAGACTAGCAGCAGAACCCAAAACTCTTACATCCTACTCTGGTGCCTTAACCCATCTGATTTTGCTGCCCACCATCTGACTTCTACACACAATGTACAAATGAGAGACACAACCTCATATAGACTAAGAATAAAAAAAAAAAAAAAAAAAAACACGCTAGTTTTTTTTTTCACTTAAAGAATGTGGAATAAAGAAAACAGTGCTGAAAAAAACCTTGTGTCCAAAAATCGGCACATTTGCTTGCCGATGACTTACTGCGAATGGCTGCACAAAAGATGCCAGCCCTTCTCGTGCTGCTTTGACTGACGTCCTCACGTTTCTCTCTCGAAAGAGCTCCCTTAGGACACCAGGTGTCACTGTAACAAAGTGAAAAAG